TGATCTTCCCAGGGAAAGATGGGAGGTTGGTTTCTCTCAGCTTTACCATTAGCCTTGCTTTGGCCTGGAGGTTCTGGCTCTTGAAAACTGTTTTCTATGAGAAGACAAGCATGAGCAGGCTTTTTTAGACCACTGGCTTCCTTTCATTATCCCAGAGGTATAACCTCCATTGCAAGTGGACCTTCCTTTAAAGGAAGAAGGTTATAGTTCTGCTCTGTATTGTTTGTAATGAGTCCTGGTTTTCAAATGTATCATTTGATTATCACATCCACTTTGAGGTCAAGTTTTCTTGTCTCTGGAATTTGATATATTTTGCCTCTGTGAGATATTGTTACAAAAACAACTATTTATGGTGAACATTCTGTAAAATCAAAAGCAAGGCCCATCTGGTAGCAAAGATTAATGTGTTTGAGAATGACAAACATTATTGCATATTTTAAAATATGTAACTAGCACAGAACATTTGCCTTGGGCGCTGGAATGAGATTACGGTTTAGAAAAAACATTTAAATGAACTTTTATCCCTCAAAAGTGTATAAAACATATTTTCCTTTCATGTACAGTAAAACTTTAATATTGTAATTCATCTACTGAAAATAATATGAAATTTTAAGTATGAGGTAAACAAAATAAAGTTTTAATAGTTACTGCTTCTTTAATTTATAAATATAATTGCAGTTCTAGATTATTAATTTTGCATATGGTAGACAGAATAAAAGACAAAAATATGGTCCTGTCAACAACATTAGTGGTGAATTTTAAAAAGCAGGCTGTATTTTTTACTACAGATTTAGATTTACAAATAACCTGGCAGAGAGTATAGTAGTGCATATGGTTTATGCACCTCTGTATATAATTTCTCCTATTAATATCTTGTTTTCCTGTGGTATTTTTTGTTGCATTTAATGACTTAATGAACTTTATTGATACATTCTTCAGTCAACTCCATAGTGTCCATTCAAGCTCCCCTGTACTGCACTGTAGAGTTCTGTGGGGTGACACATACACAGTGGTAGGTATCTGCAGTTTCACATAAAGTAGTTTTATGGTCTCACCTAGGCCTAGGTGTTCATCATCCCTCCTTTCCTTCCCTTACCTCAAACCCTTGGCAAACCACTGAGCTGTTTTGCCTTTTCCAAAATGCAGTGCAGTTGAAATGGTAAAGTTTATTTTTAAGGTATCTTGGCATGCTTTCTGAGGTTCAGTTTAAAAGCAATTATAAAGAATTAAACTAACTTTCTGTGCTTCCATTTTGACCTTTGTGTTAGTGACATTCCTTCATTTGATTTAACCAAATGAGTAGAATTTAAGTGGTTTACGATCCAAAATATCTTGAGCACCAGTTTCTCCTGTAGTAAATGTGATAAGTAGTCATCAGTTCTGTTCAGAGTCTGTCATTCATTTGCTACATGTTTGTATATTGACATTTGTATTCAAACATGTTTATCCATTTTTTCGGTCCTTAAGAATGTCTGCCTCTAACTTGGAAAATACATAGAAGAATCCCCATTCCAGCCCAGCTTCATAACACACGTGTCAGTCAAACCAGAGCTTAGAGTTTCGGACAATTGTAGATATAGATTTTGGTTAATGTGGCTAAATAGTATGACTTTTGAAAGCTCTAGGATGTAAGTCATGGGAAAATATAATAAATAAAATGTGAGGAAACTTTGGCAACAAAGTTTCATTTCAAATGTGAAAGCATAAAATCATAAATGTAAAAGCAACAAAAGTTTCATTTCAAATGTGAAAGCATAAAATCATAAATGTAAAAGCACAGAGTTCATTGTCTTAGGCATGTGTTCTAAATTTTCATAAGAAATCAACAATTTTTTACATTGACAATAGAGATATTGATATAAAGCATTGGAATTAAATATTCATTCAAATACCTTACACTTACATGTGGTGGATAATGCATGTAATACTTATAAAATCAAAGTTTAGCTCCTCAGGATAATTTGGCTTGTTTCCTTTTATTCTCTCATGTTGACATTTTAGAGGAATTATCATTTATCTTTCTTTAGTATACTTTAATTTTTTCTTGGTCTGTTTCATAAATTTATATTTTCATGGCATTTTTATGTTTAAGACTTTGCCCCTGAATGTGTAAAGAAGGAAAAAGTCACCAAAAAGAACTCAAATTATGACCATCAGGACACACGCAAGACAAATTTTGAAAGACGGCCTTCTGTTTTCAGTAAAATAAAAGAGGAAAGTGAAGCGTGAGGTCTAGCTATAATCATGTTAGCGGCTTATGTTTAGGGTAAAAATAGCCAAAATCGCATGGTGCTTACATTAGGTACAGCGCTCACATCTTTAAAATTCCACCTGTTAATGAGGGAAACTAAGTCACAAAACTAAGAGTTGTATCAGCTGTGTGTCATGCTTAAAAAGAAATTTGCTCTTTTATTTAAAATATACTGGCATTTAAAGAAGTGCAATATACCTTAAAAGGTCACATGCCCACAGTATAGATTCATTTTAACTCATTTTTTGCAGGAAGTACATAGTGAGCTTTTTAAAGTACCTCCCACTAATGGTACACAGCCTAAAAATCATTAAACTGATTTCATACTGAGACCCAAGAAGCAAATGTGCTATACTGTTTCATCCATGGTAAGAGTGTTAAGAATGATCACCGCCCCAAAACAGTTACTTGAGTATCTTTCTATATCACCATCAAAATGTATGTGCCCCGAAGGGTGGATTGATACAAGCTGTGTATAATTATGAGTTTAAGAAATCAGAGTAATCAGTTACACACTCACTCTACCAACTGTTCAGTGATCTTCCTGAGGGTCAGTCTAATAAACTGAAAATATAGGGAAAAAACCTTGTCAAATGCCTGTCTTCTGTATTTCATGAGAAATTTCTAAAATCAGAAGTGACCTCTAAAGATTACTTGTTCTGCTGTTTATATAACATGTACCTATTTGGTTGTTTGACAGACCTTGTACCTCTGCAGTGACTATGCTTGTGAGATCCCCCCATCAGTGCTTATCTTAGACTGTGTTCAGTGAGTCAGGGCACCTTTGAGATAGTTTTACTGATAGATTAGGTACTATTGGAATTTTTAGTTCTAAAAAAGGAGAGTTCTGTGAACTGCTTGTCTTTCACTATCAGAAATGCTTAATGCGTGAATCTCCACAACAATTTTACAAGTTTGGAGTTAATGTGACTCTTTTACAGACTGAGAAGCTGAGATACATAGAACTGTAGTGGTGATACCAATGTGGAACTGCCAATAAGTAGCAGGGTAAACCCAAGACTTTGGGTTTCAAATCTGACTTTCTCTCTATAGTGTCACATAACAGGCTCCAAAACAAAGATTTCTTGTCATGGTTAAGACAACGTATATAATGTTAGGCAAGTCAATTTGTACTCTTTTTCCAAACACTGCCGTGAAATTGTTTCTCAAAAAATTGCAAAAGCAAACTGGAACATAATTCATTTAAGTAGTGGATAGATAGCTGTGAGCACAGTCTGTATGTGTAAGGAGTGCATCTCTAGAAATCCCTGGTGCCATTAAAGATGACACAGCCAGCACACAAATCTTGGGTAACATTAAGCAGTATATTATTCAAATGATCCTCAACCCTGGTGACTCCTGAGAATCTCTGGAGGGCTTTCCTCAGATAGAGTGGTGTCAAGACACATTTTTCTTTTAAGACTTCCAGGTAATTAAAATACACGACCGGCATTAAAGATGGTTTTTAGCCACTGGCTGACAATAACAAGATTCAGCTGTTGGTAATGGCTGTCTGTGGGAAACACATCTAGTACTCTGGCGCTAACACGTGGGAGGTTTTGGATTCTGTCTTATATTCATTCAACAAAATGCTAAAAGCTGAAGCTGAATTTTAAAATGTTTGTTCAGAAAAAGAAAAGGTTATGTGATTAGAAAAGCTCAAATGTGGTCCTCAGAACACTTAAAAGACATATCCACTAGAATGTTATGTGTAAATTTTTTATTAACTAGATTATTTTGAGTAAAACTAACTTTCAGACTTGTACATGACGATATAATCATGTTGTATTTACCTTATCACACATATTGTCTTTTATGAAGTGTATTTTTATACCTTGGTGGACTTTTGTGTGTATTTTATACTACCATTTCTTAAAACTTACTTGAAAAATTTTAAGTTTTACTGTGGATCCTTTTAAGGGATATTATAATCTTTTGGAAAATGAAATTATTTGCCTCCTTGACAAAACTCCAGTGCTCTCATGAAACCTTTATGCTTTAGAAGGAGTGCTGGTTTTTGTTTGATTTCATTTTGTTTGATTTGTTGATTTTTGTTTGGCTTTTGGTCCTTTGTTAATGCTTAGAATGAGTATGTAGGTCCTAGTAACTCCTGAACCAAACATGAAAGGAGAAACCTTGTAGTGAGTTTTTCCAGTATTATTGCTGGGTAATATTTTGTCTCCAGATTTTGATAGCATTGAGTAAGGGTAGAATCATTTACATCCTAGAAGATCAGATCTAGAAAGGAATGCTCAGCGTATCCAGCGAAAACTGGCATTAGATCATAGCAGGAAACTGAGACTCATTAACATAGTGATGAATCAAGCTGACAAAATGATTTTTAATTAAATAAATTATGTTTCTACAGCCCTAAGTAGATAATGCTTTGTATTCAAAACTTGTCTTTTAAAGAAGATTTTGGGTAATTTGCTGTGCACTTTCAGATTACTGTGGCCTCATTTTTCTCCCATAAAACACTGGCTTTAGTCTATTTTAAACAATTGTGTTATGTCTGCCAGTGGAATGAAAATGCTTTATGATAGAGGACTTGTCTTATTCTGTTTTGTACTTTTGTCCCTTCGGTTTTAATCTCTGGGACTGTCTTAGAACAAGTCTTCAAAATCTGGGAAATTAATTTATGTCCCAGTTCAATGTGAGAAAAACTAATAAACTTTCAAGTAATCGATCATGCAGCTATGAAAACTATGATTAACAAAGATAAATATGTGTTCCATTTTCCTCCCTACAGTCTCCAAACGTCCACAACTACCCCGATATGGAAGCTGTTCCCCTGTTGCTAAATAATGTGAAAGGGGAGCCACCGGAGGACTCATTACCTGTAGATCACTTCCAAACACAAACTGAGCCAGTGGACTTGTCCATACACAAAGCCAGGACGTCCCCTACCGCTGTTTCATCCTCCCCAGTCTCCATGACAGCATCTGCCTCCTCACCGTCTTCTACTTCAACCTCTTCATCATCTTCTAGTCGTCCAGCCTCATCCCCAACTGTTATAACGTCGGTATCTTCAGCATCGTCTTCATCCACAGTATTAACTCCAGGACCCCTTGTTGCCTCTGCATCTGGCGTGGGAGGCCAGCAGTTTTTGCACATTATCCACCCCGTACCGCCTTCAAGTCCCATGAATTTACAGTCCAATAAACTGAGTCATGTTCACCGTATCCCCGTGGTGGTACAGTCGGTGCCTGTTGTCTACACAGCTGTACGGTCACCTGGAAATGTGAACAACACTATTGTAGTGCCGCTTTTGGAGGATGGGAGAGGCCATGGCAAAGGTAAGAAGACATAAAGCCTTGATTTATTTCAATACTAGACATCAACTGTTCATCTTTTCAATGGATGGGACCTAAATTTGTTTGTAAACAGTGTAGTCACGGAAGGTCCGTGCAGAACCAAGTGGATCAAGTGACTAACCATTGAGTACAGTTTAGAAAGCACGTTTATCTGGGTGCATTTTTAAGTTGTACCTGGTCTGTATTTTTATTAATCAAGTCAGGATTTGTAAAATAATGGCCATCTTTAAATGCACAAATGGGAAAGGTGTGTATGGTTATATGGTTACGTATGAAGTGAAATCCCTCAAAGAAACGAAGAGAAATAAGGATATGTCTTTTTTTGTTGTTTTTAGACTAGAGTTTATTTGGATGACAATAACAGTACCATGAAGTTACAAGGCCCTAGGTCTGATAATTCACTTTTGGGAGCTTTGTTAAAAAGGTTACCATTAAAATACTTCTACAGTTAAGTGTATGGCTATAAAAGTGTCAGGTAGTTTTGAGTTTTTATCATCTTAAAAGTCTAAGTTATTATTTTAAATAACAGGATGACTTAATATAATGGAAATATTTTTAAATGAAATGTTAATACTTCCTTCTAGGGTTTATAAGGCAGGAAGATATTTGCTACTTGACTGTGTGTAATAATACCTAGTATTTAATTAAATTTGATAGTTATGCAGCCAGTCATGAAGTTGTTTCTTACTTCTAATTTTTTTTGTTTCAAATTTTTACTAGAGGGAATGATACCATCATTCAATCTAGTCTTTCTTCTCTGCCTTTGAATCCCAAAACTAAAGTACCCTTCTATAGAAATGTGAAATCCCATAGTCATTGGCTCTTTCCCTTTTAAATTGAGTACATATATATGTAATTTTGTCTTCAGAACCTGAAATAATGCTAGACATTGTTTTGCCACTGAGTTATAACTGAAGCCCATAATTAAAATATGATTGACAAATACATAAGCCACTGTCTTCTCATAAAATGCTACTAAACACGAAGTTTTGTTTCTTGTACAAGGAAGAATTCAACAGAGAGAGATTATTTTTTATTTCAAATTTAGAAAAAGTTTTACGGTATGATTTGTGCCTGCCCTGTTGGCAAGTTATTATTTTATCTACATTGAGTTTCTTCATAGCACTGAAATAAACTTCACCTTCCTAGGTGAATTTAGGAATTTTAGTTTGAGAAGTTAAAATGTAGACATTCACTCTTATTAGACAACCTCTGTCTTTTATGGAATTATGGACCAGGGACTAGTATGTGGGTGTTGTGAAAGTGTAGAGACAAAAGAGGGATTAGGGAGCCTTTTCATGGATTTTCCTGAAGCTAAACCCCTGAAATTATGAATCCCTCACATTGAAATGAACAAATCTATTTGAGTGATAATAGCATGACTGAAGGCCAAATCAGGTATTTTCCTTCACAATACAGAGAGGTGATTATAAGTGTTTTAAGAATAAGAAATTAACAAGTAGTGAAACATACACCCTTATATGTTCATTATTTTATTTATGTGTGTGTATACAATAAATCCAATATTCTGTGATATCACTTAAGAAAAACATTGTTCTCATGCTCATAACCCTTTACACAATTTTGACTCATTAGTGAAGCAAAAGAGGTAATTTTTATTTGACATTATTTTTTATGGGAGAAGTTTTTTCAGTTAGTAAATATAAAATATATAATTATATAGCTAAAATTTAACTTTCTAGAAAACGTGTCATTGCAGAGCTTGAAGACTCATGCTGTAATTTGTTCTCTATGTGAATATATTTGTTAGTTTCACACAGTATATTTAACTCAGTAGTTTTTCAAATAAAAATTTATTTAATCATGAACCCACTGGACTGTGCTATGGTCCTTAGGGACGTGAGGTTTGAGATCAAAGTGACAGTCTTGGTTCTCTCTTATAGCTGTGATGTCAGGAAGTTGTATAATCTCATTAATCCTTATTGTCATCAGTGATAAAATGGGAATCGTAATAATCTCTCCTAAAGTTACTGAGAAGGGTAAGAGCATAACATGAATGTCTAGCCTTGATCAAGTATCAAATATTTCCACTTATTGTTCATTATTTTTCCCAGAAATTATCAGAAGCAATAATGCTCAAAATTTCTTTCTTTTTCTTAAAAAATAGGCAATTATAGGGGGAAAATTACTGAATTTTAATTGCCATAGTCTACAAACATTACTATAACATCTTAAAGTTTTCAATTGTTTAACTGATTAATTAGATAAAGTGTCTAGTGGAGGAGGCTTGCATACCTCCCAGAAGGAGTGAAGGAAAGGGCATTTCAGTGATTCCTCAAATCTTTTGTTTTGCAGCCAATGAAATGAATGAGAGATAGAAGGAGCCCCTATTTCCCTTCCCATTTAAGACTTATATATCTGGTATGATTGAGCAAAAGAAAATATGATATGGGAGTTGGATTTTCAAAATGCTAATAATAAAGACAGAGTGTAACTCATATAATTAGATGACCATAATGGCTAGTTTCTTTTAAAATTGGTGTGACATATCTGGTCTCTGATAGGGAAATAGATGACCATATAGGAACACACAACACAAAGGACTGTGAATGTACACTTCCACATGTAAGCTAATGTATCATTCAGTCATTTGTTCATTTAAGCATTTATTGAGTGTCACTATCAGGCATTATTGACTTTAAAGATGTAATGTTGAACAAAGCAGATGCTGCTTCTGTCTCATGGGTATCAAAGCAAACAAACAAATCACAGAAATAATTAAATAACACTTAACTATGGATAGAGTTGTAGTAAAATATACACCAGTCAGTTATTTGCCCAATAGGAGTGTAGTTATAATCACAAAGAGATAAAATTATATTTGATAACAATATTTGCACATGGAAAGAAGCAATGTTCTGACTGTGATGCTTAGAAGAGGGTGGTGAGGGTTTGGGGAAGTGGTGGGTTGAAACTTCCACAAGGGACACTTGAGTAGCTAAAGCATATGAAAATCCTTTCTGATGGTGCTAAGAACCTTGGCCCATCCATCCACCTGGGTAAAGAATATATATTGGCCTAAAGGAAGGGAACATTTTTATCTAATTCAGAGTATATAGATATCTCCGTAGGGCTTTCAGTGTAGTGTGAGATTGGAAGAAAGATGGAACAGTGCTCTGAAAGGTAGAGTAAATGAACATACTTTAGACTAGAGCTGTGAGAGGGGGATGGGAGAGCAATCTCCTAAGGAAGACATTTTCTCCTTGACACCAAAAAGGCAAGTAACACTCACCCCCCAATTGCTGAGAGGTACAGACCTCCCCATGTAGGGGGTGTTTTGTTACCACAGAAGCTGAGACTTGATATCTATAAACAAGACCCTCAGGGGACTATACGGCCTTGTAATTTTCACTCCAGGAATTTCAGACCAGCCTCAGGAAGTTTGTGCTACGTTTCCCAGGAGATTTTCATTGTTTTTTTAATAGATATTTAGGGACAGAAAAGCATTGAATGCCTAAACAAATTACAGGCAAAATTGTCCTTGGTTCATTATTGCCTTGTAGAATTCTTCTTCCTTCTAGCATGTAAAGTGCATTTATTATAAGCTAAGCACAATTCTTGGAACTGGAATTCCAAGAGGAGCCAGTTTCTGCTGTCATGAACTTTATGTTCCAGTAGGAGAGCCAGCATTTGTTAGATGGTGTAAGTGCTAAGAAGGAAAATAAGACTTAACTAAAAGGATGAAAAGTTAATAGGAGAATGCAATTTTAGGTATAATCAAGGAAGACGTCTCTGACAAACCAGCTTTGGTGATAATAGCTGGGAATGACCATTCCAAGAAAAGAGAACTGCAGAGTCAAAGACACTGAGATTTATATGACCTGTGTGAGAAAGAAAGAACACCAAAGAGGCCCTTAGGACTGGAGGAGAGTGAGCAATGGCAAGATGGTAGAGATGAGGGTTTGAGGGGTAGGCCTCAGAGACCAAGGTGTACGTTCTTTGGTTTTTGTACTAAATCAGATGGGAAGCCACCAGGACTGAAACTTTGAGAAGGAGTGTGAGTTGCTCCCTTTTGCCTTTTACAAAAATCATTGAGCCTTTATATATAGTAAGGAGTATAGGGCGGGAGTGAAAATAGAAAGGAGACTGGTGAAGTTTGAATTAGGAGTGGTTATAGGAAAAGGAGTGGAAGTAGAGATGCCTTCTAGGTTTTCTGGTGAACTATGGAGCAAACAGTGGTGCTCTTACTAAGATGAGAAAGAGTGGTGTTGAGAAGAGTCTTCCCATATCCATCACGCCTGTTCTACATTTGAAGGAAAAGCATGAAATGGGAGTCGGATAAGTGAGCCTGGGGCACAGAAAAAGGAGGTAGTTGCTTTGGGAAAAATAAATTTGGGATCCACGAGGGTAGCAGAGGTACTAATGCTATGAACTGTCATGGGTCATCTTGGGTGAGAGCCAGAATAGAGAAAGGAAGACTGAGCAGTTCAGCACTGAGAGCTTAAAAACAGCAGAGGAAATCCAGTACCGCTGATCTGCTAGTGAGGGAAGTAGAAGAATGTTAAAGAGAATGTAAGTGAAATTGTGGCTCAAGGAGGGAGTTGTCAGTTGTCACCAAATGCTGCTCTGGAACTGAGTAAAATGAAGACCAAGAATTGTGTATTAGGATTAGGTGAGGGAACTTCATTGGTGACAATGAGGAGCACCATGTCAGTGGAGTGAGATGACAGACGACTGATTGGAACTCTTGTTAAGATGGGAGGTGAAGGAAGGAGACACAGTCTAGACAGCTCTGAGTAGTTTGTAAATAGCTGTGGAGACATTCTGGGATGGCTAGCTATCATGGAGGGACTTTACAAGTGGGAGATAGCACAAGAACAATCTAGTAGAGGCAAATAGTCCATGAGACCCTATCTTGATAGAACCCATCACAAAAAGGGGCTGGCAGAGTGGCTCAAGGTGTAGACCCTGAGTTCAAGCCCCAGTACTGCAAAAAAAGAAAGAAAGAAAAGAAAGAAAAA